GAGAGAGAGAGAGAGAGAGAGAGAGAGAGAGAGAGAGAGAGAGAGAGAGAGAGAGAGAGAGAGAGAGAGAGGGGGATGTTTTCTTCTGTAAACTTTGGGGGACAAAAGAACGCTCAACGTCTACCTCTACAAAAAAAAGAAGTGTACGAGGATGACTTAACGAGGGGGCACTGCCGAGCCCTTCAGGTCTTGTGCCCTGGAACATGAATAGCAAACTAAACTTCATACGAAATGAATGGCAATTCTTCCATTATTCCACTGCACAACAAGGATAGCCAATAATGCGCAGCATTGCCGGCTTGTGTCCGAGCCCACGACCACATGTTACACCATCATGGGCAGCAAAACGGATCCGAAGTGGTGGGGGATATTGTCCCGGATTTCTTTCTTTGTAAATCCAGGAGTATTCCCAAAGAAAGGAAAAAGTTGAAAAACGTACATGGCATGTACTGAAAAGGGAGGGGAAGGACTCGTGCTACCGCCAATACCATTGCTAAATTTCAGCACAGGAATATTTTTTGAGCTGCCCGAAAAATCAACTTTCGGTAGTTGATTTCATTATATATATATATCACCCCCAGTAAATAAGAAGAGAAGACACTTGCATTGCTCTGGGAACAGTGCCTTCAAAAATAGCAGGACTTCACTCGGACTCGAAGTGCTGGCAACATACCAAACAGGGAAGGAAAAGGAAGGCTCTCCAATGAGGAGTCTGCACTGCAACAAATCCATAACTACAAATGGTATCTGCAAACCTAGCACGGCTAGCACCCAAATTTAACGAAACATACACGAACCGAAGGCTATTGGCAAAACAGACTTGTATGCCTGTAGACTTCTCTCTCTCTCTCTCTCTCTCTCTCTCTCTCTCTCTCTCTCTCTCTCTCTCTCTCAGTCTCAAAATCTCAATCTCAATTGTCCTGCATAGCTACTGACATGCAGTCTTGTGCGGCTTGCTGCTGCTGGTCTTGTCTGGCAAGGAGTGAGTTATCGTCCACCCTACCATCATACGAAAAAGGGGTCTCGTGCTCTCCCTCTCTAGACCTTCTGCTGCATAGGCATAGACATACTGTCCTGTGTGGCCCTCTCCTGCTGCTCTTGTCTGGCAAAGAGGGGGTGTTCATCCGCCCGACCATCTTTGACATACATAAACAGGTATACATTCTGAAGCAAGATCCAACACCCGACAAGCATCCCCAGCCAGTTTCCGGCAAGTGCAAAATAGATTATCACAAGTAGCGCCAGCGGGGTGGAGACAGACAGTGCTGCAATTGCTGTCTTCTGCGTGCTCACTTGGAAGATAAGCAGGATATTGATGAACACGCGACCTGCAAGCACACGAGTTCATGAATCAGCAAACACAGATCATACAAATTCAGAGATGATTTTCGGGACAGACATAAAAAATGGGATGATACAGAGAAAATTAGCATGGCCTGCACAAGCACGCACATACACCAATAAATTATCCAAAAGAAGAACAAAAAACAAATTCAAACAGAGCAACGAGATACCCCGCAGAGGATTCAGACTCAATCTGACCTGCCAAGATCAGAAGCCCACAGTTGCTCATCCCCCTTATGAAGCACTGTCGACCAATCAGTATCATCTTTTCCTCCGACAGGAACGGCCAATTTATTGCTGTATTTAGACCAAAAGTTGCCCCAAATACAGCTATAATGACCGTGTGTTCTCTGCGGGGGAAGACGGTAGTACTTACGCATACTGATCAAAGACTCAGATACTAACGGCGTTGGAAATTTGTCTAGTCGGTGATGAGAATCAGCAGGAAGACGTAGTTCATATTCTCCTTCACAGCCAAGAAGCATCCTGGATGGAGTGTCAAATGGAAACAAATAGCCGACACAGCTCGTCCCCCCCGCGCCCCCCCCGGGAAAAAAAAAAAACAAACACTTTGCGAGCCCCAAAACACCATATGGATTGGATATCACCACATTGACCAGAAAGGTGATTGTCGCACACTTGTCAATCTCAGATAGGTATGGTGCAGAACGAAAAGGAATACAAGTAGTGAGAAATAGCAGTGTGATGCAGCGGAAGACTGAAAAGGCACGAACGTGACTCAATCAGACTCCACATGACCCAATCTCAGCAGCATACAATTGCATCAGGTCAGGCAATGCATACACATAAGAATGCTGCTTGACCTCACACACATGGCAAGGCAATCACACTAACGAGGGGGAAGGGAAAATGAGACAAAGGGGGAGAGAAGAAGAGAGCTGCCACACGATGAAGTCGTCAACCAAAGTAAATCTCCCCCAAGTCTCAGTATTCATGTCATGTCCAGGTCTGGACTCCAGCCCACAGGATAGTCTCCAAATCTCAGAGCTTTCTCTCTCTCTCTCTCTCTCTCTCTCTCTCTCTCTCTCTCTCTCTCTCTCTCTCTCTCTCTCTCTCTCTCTCTTATAGATGAGGCAGGTGGATATGGACGGTGGAGCAGGGGATAGAGGGGATGTTGTTGCCAGGAGAGCCGTGCCTAACTCGCAGAGTGGATCTGATAGCACGGTGCCATCATTTATCGCCCCCTAGAGGGGCCACCCGAAGAGGAGATGCAGTCAGAATATAGACAATGAGGACAGCAATCAGGACACCTACCGTCTTCCCCCAAACCCGATGCACCCTCATAATGAATGCACTGAGCCGGAGCGGAAAGTCAGCTTGTCGCACATCAAACGTTTTTGGTGCGTTGTGTTCAGGGTAAGACAGTGGGAAGACTAGGGCGACAACTAGGACGGCAACAAGCATTGGCTGCTAGGGTTTGGTTGGCGATTGCCTCCAGATAGTAGAGGACGATTGCTGTCCTCTAGAGACAAATTACATCTGCAATTGTCTGTCTGAGTCGCAGCCAGTGGAGGCGATTGATTGGTGAAGACCAACAGATGGCAGCCAGGGTGGCGTTTGCAGCCTCATGGGAATCCCAGCAGCTGCATCCGCTCCGCCATTCTGTGAGGGTGAAGCTGCACCAGCCGCACGGGGACGAGGTCGGTGACACCGGCCAGGGGTCAGCCCGTACCACTAGTGCCGAGTGTATTTTGCCAGTCGCCGGGCTTCCCCTCTCTCTCCTAACCCTACAAACAACATCCCCAGTGCCCGCTAAAGCCTCTCAGGGGGGGAAGCGGGCTTCCTCTAGGTGGCGGGCGTCAATCATACGTGGGCATGTACACGAGGCCAGTAGGAATTGAGCCCATGACCTCCTGCATCACACTTGTGTGCCTTACGGGCCCGGCTAGGCTGCTCACCTTTTTGCCCTCGATGCTATGTCAGGGTGTATTTTTTCCATTTCTATGTTGTAATAAGATTGTGTCTTGGATAGGAGCTCGTTTTTTTTTTCTTTCTATCAGCAATTTTTTGAGCAAAATTCCTGTTTTTTGGTTTTTTGCAGAAAAAGAGCTGGGTCTAGGAGGGTCTAGGAGGGACTTTTAACACTCTGACATCTGGGTGCAGATGTCCCGATCGGTCCTGACAACCAGCCGCCATTTATTTCTGGCCTGCATGTTTCGTACTGGACGTGTGGACCACCATATTTTTCACACATAAGAAATCTGCACCCCTTTTCAACACTCCTTTAGTGAGTATAAGAGATGGAGCCATCCACAAAAGGATTTCAACACTCCTTTAGCGAGTAAAAGAGATGGAGCCACCCACATGTCCGGCTCAGTGATGACCTATAAAGGCATTCCTCAGAGCGAAGGAAGAACAAAAACAGCCAACACCTTGGAGTGGAAATTGGGGAAGGAGGAAGCCACTCACCTCCGTCAAGGGGATACGCTGGGAGAAGCAGGTTGAAGCAAAACAGGATGACATTGAGGAATGTCGCATCCCGCACGAGATTTATGAAGAAGTTGCCGTAGTAGTTGAGTGCAAGCTTGCCCCGACTGGCTGCAATCCAAAGCACGAACCAGAATAAGCCCATTGGAATGTGTGTCAAAGGTCCGGCCACGGCCACCTTCAAATCATCCTGGGGCGTCCCCGCGTGCCCGACGTATGCCAGCCCTCCCAACGGCCACAGCAAGCTGCCACACACAGCAACCACACACATGCACACAAGGGAAGCACAGTCAAAAGTGTGAAAGTGTGGCCAACGAACCGTGTCTTGATATTCCAAAAATTGAAAAGAAAGAAAGGAAGCAAGAAAGAAAACTGTGTCTTGATACTTGCCAGTCATAAGCAACTGGAGTGACGTCCCACAGAATAGATGGGGCTTGCTTGTGTGGGTGTGTTACAAAAACTAAGTGTGAAAGTGTGGGTGCCATCTTGAGGTGACTTCCCCTGGGGCCTCGCAATCCATCTGACCTCCCTGTGAGCGACTACTACGGGCACCCCTGAGGCCTGGCCACCACCCTCTACTACACCCTCGACCTTTGCAAAAAAAAATTGTGAAAGAGAGAGAGTGAAAGAGTGAAAGTGAAAGAAGCGTGCCGTTGCCAATGAAGAGATTGCCACACACGTCTGCATTGATTGATTGGTGAGCAAGGGTCCGGCTCGATGAGTGGTGCTCTGAGACAAGAAAGAGCTTAAACCACCACTGCCTTTCTGAGCCTTGGGAAAAACGGGGAATATACGTCACACCGCATGTTAGGGGGTCTAGACGAGGCTCGGGGTGAAAGAAATGTTTGGGTCTTCTGGGCCCGCGCGCGGAAAAAAAAGAAGAAAAAAAAAAGAAAAAAAGAAAAAAGAAAAAAAAAAGACGAGGCAACTTTGTACACAGGAACGAAGTCGAGGCAGGCTGAGAACAAGGTGGGCTCACATCAGAACTTCCACGAATGTATCTAACCACAACACTGGATAGTTCATGGTAACCGCCCCGGATGTCCGGACCGGGTTCCGGACAGTCCGGTGTCCGGTCCCCATGTCCGGATGGAGGCCCCTGGGGCAAAAAAAAAAAAAAAAAAGGGGCGGCCCAGGACGTTTGTCGGGTCCTAGCCGCCCCTCGAAAAGTAACGGGGTGATTTTTAAGTGTCCTTTCACCCTACCGGACATGGCCTAGAGGTCCAGACACAAGACACTGCAGGTTTTTGAGGTGGCGGTTTTCGCACAGGCCCAAGCAATTTCAAAGCGACCGTTTCAACGTGGCGCCCGCTGCTGCTGCCTGTTGGGGGCACAGAGAGAGAGAGAGAGAGAGAGAGAGAGAGAGAACTGACAGTGCTGCCAGTGCTGCCAGTCTGAAGAC